CAACGTCTCCTCGCCCAACACACCTGGTCTTCGCACTCTCCAAAACGTCGAGCCCTTGACGCGGTTGCTCTCCGGAGTAGTAGGCGCCGTCAAGAAGATCGACCGCAAAACAAAGCCTGTTGTTATGGTCAAAGTCAGCCCCGATGAGGACTCGGAAGAGCAGGTGTCAGGCATCTGTGAGGCAGTCTGGGACTCCGGTGTGGATGGTGTCATCGTTGGCAACACCACGAAGAAGCGACCAGACCCACTGCCGAAGGGCTACCTACTTCCACAATCAGAAGCAAAGTTGCTTCTCGAACAGGGAGGCTACTCAGGTCCCCAAACTTTCGAGCGCACACTTTCGCTTGTCAGCAGGTACAGGAAAGCGCTTGACGAAGGCCCAAAGCACATTGCACCACCGTCAGAAGCACGCACCGACGAGCCAACCGCTGGCCAGAGCACAGACGACAAGCCCTCTATTGGGTCTTCGAAAACCAAGCCAACGCTCGATCTCGACCAACCGTCTCCAACACAACTTTCTTCCAACGTCGACGATCTTTCCGAATCAGCACCTACAATGACCCTTCACTCTACACCCAGGACTGCGCCAGCACCAAACGCACCACGCAAGATTATATTCGCGACGGGCGGCATCACAAATGGTCGGCAGGCGAGAGAGATCCTCGATGCGGGAGCGAGTGTGGCACAGGTATACACTGCTATGATCTATGGCGGTGCAGGCATAATCAGCAAGATCAAGCAGGAGATGAGGGATGATGCAAAGGAGCAGAAGACGATCACCAAGCGGTAGCCAGAAGAAGCGTGGGTAGGCATTGTATGTATACACTGTCTTTTCTAAATGCATTACTCAATTCGTGAGAGCAGCCTTCACTCTACGAGCCAAATATGCAGTGGGACACTCGTGACGCAAACATGTCCACCAATTCAAGACGCCGCTGGCTGACTCTCATTCGCCAGCCAGTCTACTACCTCTGCCGCCAATTTCATGAAATCCAGCGGCTCAGGAGGAACTATAATCTTCCCGTTAAGTACTAGCCTCAGTAGAAGCTTGATGCTGCCGCACGACTTGAGTTCTGCCCGTAAGCCCTGTCGCTTCGCTTCGCTCGCAATCAAGATGGTTACCATGGCACCATCAGTAAGACAGAAGTGGCTCTGCTTCATCTTGTGTCTTGCACGTAGTGCAAAAGATGCCTTACTTTCACACTGCTTAAGAACTTGCGCGTCTATCGAAACACCCGCATCAACCAGGTGGCGGGTCATAAGGAAGTGAGTCGTTGCCCTGTCTGCAAAAGTTGTCATACCTTCGACGAGATGTTGTGATCCGATATGGGCGCCGTAGCTTCTGAGGACATCGACCAACTTTCGATGTCCGTAACGAGCTGCTTCCAGTGATGTTTGTTGAATGAGATGATCCCGATTAAAAAGCACGAAATCGCCACCAAGTATGCGGCATACGAGTTCGGAATGTCCAGCTTCGCAAGCTTCTTTTAACGCGTACTGCAAATCGCTGTGGTGATCCCCTGGATTGCGTTTCGGGATATCGTCCTTCAAAATCGTCACGAGGGTTTCGGTTTTGCCGTTTTGTGCTCCATCGGTAATCAACTTTTTCCAAATCTCCGGAATTCGGGCTTCACGGCGAGTGACGAAAAATTCTAGTAACATTCGCACTGATTCTGTGTCTCCAGCTTTCATGGCATGGCACACCGCAGTCTCGAATGTGACGAGAATCCAGTCACGTTCCCGCGCTCCAAGAGTCGGGAAATCATGTCTTGCAAGCTCTACAAGCTTGCGAACCATTGGAGTGTGGCCACACACTGCAGCTGCTTTGATCGGGCCAGTGAGTATGCCAGAAGTGTACCCCAGAGGGTCTGCCCCTTGTGCTATGAAATGATCGACAGCTTCGATATTTCCCACAGCGGCCGCCGCGGTCAAAAGATCTACCGAGGTTATCGGCGTTGCAGAGTGCTTCAAATCTTTCCTTCGATCGTTATCCATTGTATCTGGGGGTAAGAAGTCCGGCTTGCTGGAATATTTGTCGGAACCATCTCGCAGTATTTCCATGCCTGGTCTTAGGACGCTATAGGTGAGACATATATCACTAAGATAGGCTTTGCGCACAGTAGTGTCAATGACATCGTTTGTGGGGTTCGCAAATTGCATCATCTCGTCAGTAAGTTTGTCTGTTGTCGATATTCCGTTAGCAATTTGGACTCGACTTTTCGCCAAAAAACATTTTCTCACTTACTGAGGCACTTGGTCAAGTCCCGGTTCATACCACGATTGCGCATACAATGATTCATGTGCAAAGTATGCGAATTCTTTCGGAGGAAAGTTGGTGGTCCGTTATCATGACGGTCATCAACTTCCGGCTCGATGTTGCGGAGATATGTCTCGTAGACGATTGCCGGAGTTTGCGCCAACAGTACGTGGTCGATCGCATTTCGAAACGTCCCTAAAGACGCATTAGTCGCGAACAAACAATGCCGATGCAAAGTGAAGAATTAATATGAACCTGCTCAGATCTCTATCAAAGCAATCGAGTATGTACTTACGAGACACGATGCGAGCACGAAAGCTCTCGTGGAGCGGGACGGTATCGACGTACACTTTCAGGATTGGGTCGAAGAGCTCCGCAGGTAGGGTTTGGATTAACGTCATGGTGAAGGTAGCACGATTTACTTGGACTGTGTCTTGTTTGATAGCTACATGTGTCGTGCTACGACATAGGAAGCGGGGAAGGGGCTTGTTGGATTCTTATCGATGAAACTTGCAGGGTTCGGAACACCTCGCACGTCCCTAGGTAAACAAAGGGTCCCTTGGTGAGGTAAGCGAGACGCGACTATGGGCGAGATCCTTTTGAGTGCGCGCTCGTCTCGTAATAATCCAATTGCGATAACTCTAAGGGGTACTTTACGTAGTTAGGTATGTAATAACTCTAACTTGCCGACGAATGCTGCGCTGGTACGTCTCCATGTAGATCCGAGCTCGTCACGGTCACTCGATTTGCAATGCAACGGCTTAACTCTCATCAAATTTCAGATAGAATTTGACGCTCTTCCATCTCGATAGATCTCTTGATGTCGGTTATGATGGGAGATAATGCACGACGAGGTGAGCCGTCATCTCTTCACGATGACGTCAGACATCATCACATCGGCTACATCTGTGCACGTCCTCTAAGAAGCTGGCGATAGATGGGCGGCCCAATTCGATCGCGATGCAAAATCAACACCTTCATTCCAGACTGATATCAGCGCTCTTGATACCACCATGGATACACATGCGAGACCTGTGGCGCCAGAGAGTACAATGCGTCCAGACACAACGGATGCCGCATTGCTGCAGCGTTATGTGCCTTCTATATACCGCTCCGGAACTGTTCAGCAAACTGGTCGATTACATCCTAGTCAAGTTAGAGAAATCCTGGAATCCCTCGATACCTACAATCAGCGCATCCAATACCACCCATATGATCCTCAAGCCTGGTTCGAGCGTGGCCGTCGCATGTGGATGCTCAACTTCCCTGAGCTCGCAGTCGGCGACATGTACAAAGCGAAACTACTGCAAGCAGGCGATCCGGATGCCAATAAAGATCTAAGAGAATCGGTGTATGAGCTGCTCGCAGTTGCTTTACAAGCTTGTCATTGTCAATGGGACGCAGTCGAGATACTGGAAGAGTCGATAATGCACGCTCGGCCCTTGTGGTGTGAGAAGGCTACAGAGAGAGCTGAAGCCCTGCGCGCGCTTCTGAAGCGAAAAGAGGAGGCTGCAAGGGCTCTTGGCGGCACACCTCATGAGATACAAGATAGAGTGAGAGATGGCGGAGTGCTTACAGTAGAATATCTATGGACCATTGAGCGCCATCTGACGCGTTCATCAGAGCTCATTGAGTTGATAAACGAGGAGCTCAGTGAGACCGGCAACGACGCACCATGTTATCTTGGTAGAAGTACCTTGGCAAAAGACCCAGGCGAAGACATGTTGGGTATGTTTGCGGCTCGCGACATAAGGGCCGGCGAATGTATACTTACAGACCGTACCGCAACCGGTGTATGCAGCACCCCGCCACCACATTCCTGTTTCAATTGCTATGCGCGCTTACCGGATGCTCCAAAGGGAATCACGTGCTGTTCCGATAGCTACTGCTCCGACGAATGTCTCCGCCTCGCGATGAGCACCTATCATAGAGTTTTATGCGGTAAAGACTTTGAATGGCTCCAGGCACCCGCTAGAGGCTTGACGCACAACGCCTCACCTCTCCGACCTCTCCTCATGTTACGATTGCTGGCAACATGCGTTCAAGCTGGTGTTGAAAAGTCCCCGTTAGATCACCCGCTGATTGCGCGTCTCAAGCCTCTCGCCAACAAAGATCATCTTGATGTCTTCACACTCAATGAATCCATCATCATCCCATTCAAGATATTAGAGCAACTCGGTGTGGACGTCTTCGCAAACCGCAACTTCGATACTGAGGTTCTTCATTCCATCTGGACGCGTCTAGCCAATAATAAAGCTGGTTCCCTAGACCCCCAGCTTGGCTTCGTTGACGAAATCACACCTCATCTACCGCTGTTCAATCACAGTTGCGCACCGAACGTGGAGTGGAGAAGGGAACATGGAAGTACGACAGTACGCTTTTTCGCGATCAAGCCACTGACGGCAGGAGACGAATTGTTTTGCAGCTATGTGAACGTTCATGGCATACCGGTGGAGCAGAGACAGGACTTGCTGTCGCCATGGTTCGAAGGGCCGTGTCTGTGTTCCAGATGCACAGAGGAGATGGCCTAGGTATGATTTCAGGTGATTACTACGTCACACGTAGATGTAGGCAGACAGTGCATATTGATGATTGTGAGACGGGCAACTAGTCTAATTATCCAACTGATGTCTATCAACGAGATCGCTGTAATCTCTCGTCATGGAGTCTTGAATCCATGAGCCGTGGCCGTGACTTTTGCGTAGAGCTTTGTTCGTCCAACATATCTTTGAAGGCTCCGAGATCACTTCTTCACGTTCTTGTCAGGCCAGATGAAGTTGCTGGCATCGCCACGCTTCAACGATTCCACACCTGGCGGAACGCTGGGCTGCCGCGTAGGATGCACTTTGTCATCCATATCACTTCCCTTCTTTGCTGTGGCTTGTCCCAGCCCTCTTAATACACTTCTACCAAATCTTGTGCCCTCGCTCTTCCGCTTGTAGACGTCGGGCTTGGAGTTCACGTCCTGAGGCTTGGGTAGCTCCAATTTGCGCGGCTTAGGCTTCTCTGCACCCTTTTCTGCAACCTTGTCAAGTGTCTCTATCAGCTTCTGCCCGTTGCCCGTCTTGTCTTGATATTCCCGGGCGAGTGAAAAGTCGTCTTCTTTGAACAGCAACACCGCGTTGTTGGGTTCGAGGGCGAAGATGCCCCTCGTCGTGAGCGCTGCGAGGGCCCTATCTCCCATGTAGGCGTCTTGGAAGATATCGGCAGTGATGGCTAGCCTAATGATGTTTGACCAGGACTGTTCGATGGCCAGCGAGTCGACGGATGTGAACTGCGATTTGAGATATAGTTTCACCATGAAGAGGTCGGGGAGGGAGAGATGCAAGTATCGTTGTGATGGTTCGAGAGTGCAGACATGATTAAGGAGTTTAGAAGACCTGGGCATGTCGGCGATGAAGATGTGGTGACGAGTCTCTCGATGGGGACCAAGTAGGATCGTGATACGGTCGTCGTAGACGACTCCGGCTTCGTGCGCTGTTACAAAATCCCAGTCCTCATCGGCTCCATCGGGCGTGCCATTGTCATCTGCGCGTGGCAAGGTGCCTGTGTCGACAGGCGTCGCATTCTTCAGGCTAACGAACAAGTTGGTGATGAAAGACATTGCGCTATGTCGTCGCCAAAGGTTGCGCCGGCTGGCAAGGGTCGGTTATGGACAGATACAGCGAACGGTTGGGAGGGTTAGTAGAGTTGAAATATGGAAGGGCTGTAGGCGCTGGGCGCAGTTGACGACAAGGCGCACTGCCTGGTCCAGGTGGCGCGTTTCGACGCGCGGGAGAATGCACGACAAAATGGGCGGGGTGTCACTTTCACGGGTCCAGTGGAACCCAAGTAATCACAACGTATTGTGAACCACACTTTTGGAAGTCTATCACAGGGTGTCCCCTCGTCAGCACTTTAAACCCACCTTATCTCGGCATGTACACGCGCAACGGTCCTCCCGCAACGATATGTCACCGTTTGAAGCCTTGGAATGTACGTCGCGTCACAGTTTCAAACACAACGAAAGATATCATTTGGAGACAGCGTTTCCTTAGCCTGCCAACGATTTGTGGATTTATATGTACATGTCCAGCGCGGTATGCAAGTCTATTTCGTCTCGTGTTCGGGCGTGATTGCAAAGGTAGGGCGAACGAATCTGCCATCGTGAATTAGCCAAAGTTGTCTACAAAGCCAAGTCTTCAAACCATACCTGTCGCTGTTGTAGACCCTGGTCTCTGTGCCGAGTAGCTCCTTCTCTCTCGCCTTATCTGCGAGGTGCCTTCGTACTTGATCGCGGTCTTCTTCGGCTTGCAGCGCGGGGATGAGGTGTATCCGCGCCCACATCTTCTCGCGCGCGAGTTCGCTGCGACTTGTCAGCACTTTCGCTCATACATCTCAAGACTCGCGAGTCTCCTCTCGAGGGCAGGCGCGTACTTGTGCTCTCTGATACCCTGTCCAACTCTCCAGAATCCGTAGGTCATGAGTGCCGCGGTTCCGAAAAGGTATGCGGCGGGGCGGAAGCCTCGTACGGGCAGGTTGCGCTTGTATTGTACGGGGCTGTAGCCGCCCGTTGGCGGCATATCCTGCGGCATGTTGGGCGATTATTCGTGGCTCAATGGGTATTCGAAGTTGTCGTCGATGCGGAGACGTGCAGTGAGGTTCGAGCTCGGGAACCCGCGATGACAGGGATCTGGCTTGGCGCGCTAGCAAGTGAGTGAGCATAATTTTGTCGACGCTGAGTGGGTGGAAGGCAGCACTCTTGATTTTCACAAACCGAGGAAACTTTATTCGAAGATGGATTCCGAAGAGCGTCCTGCGAAGTTGCGCAAGCTAGAGCATGCGGATAGCATTGAGGATGTGGCAGAAGCACCTACAATTCCGACACCAAACGAACAACTACCTGTCGCAGCGGAAAACAGCAATCAAGCCGACGCCGTAGAATCTGTCGGAACACCGGCTGGGAGTGAGAATGCGGAGCCAAAGCTATCAAAAAACCAGCTCAAAAAGCAAAGGCGGCTCGAGCGCTGGGAAGCCGGCCGCGAAGATCGCAAACTCAAGCGAAAAGAGAAAGTCAAAGAGAAGAAAGAGCGAAGGCGAGAAGAGTGGGCGCAGATGCCTACCGACGAGAATGGCAAGAGACCAAGGCCGCCAGCTTCGCGACCTCCTCGGCAAGCAACTGGAAAACAAGTACCAATAACAGTAATCTTCGACTGCGATTTCGAAGAGCTGATGTTTGACAACGAGCTCAAGAGCTTGGGACTTCAGATTACGAGGTGTTACAGCGATAACCGAAAGGCGAACTTCAGGACCCATCTAGCTTTGAGCAGCTTCGGTGGAAAGATGAAGGAGCGTTTCGATGGCATTCTAGCAAAGCAGTACACGAGTTGGAAGGGGTTCCAGTTCTTCGAAGAAGATTTCGTTGAGGTTTCCGAAAAAGCGAAGGCGTGGATGTCAGGGCCAAACGGGGGAGAAGTTCTCGGCGCCTTGAAGACATCAGCAGAAGCCACTGGATCAGGCGATCAAGAACAACCTGATGCTGCAGCAGAGGAAGGCGAAGTCGTCTATCTTTCATCTGAGTCTGACAACGTTCTAACTCACTTGAAGCCCAACAGTACATACATTATCGGTGGACTGGTTGACAAGAACCGACACAAAGGCATATGTCACAAGCGCGCCGTGAACCGTGGGATCAAGACTGCAAAGCTACCTATTGGCGAATACCTCGAGATGAAAAGTCGGCAAGTCTTGGTCACGAACCATGTGCTAGAGATTATGCTCAAGTGGATGGAGTTTGGGGATTGGGGCAAGGCGTTCATGGCGGTCATGCCCGAAAGAAAGGGTGCTAAGCTTAAGAGCGATGGAGACGACGAGGAAGAAGACGCAGATGCTGCGGGAGATGAGCATTTGGATCGAGACCTCGCAGAAGCGACAAAGGAGGCAGACGCCGAGACTACATAGACCATCTGGGGCTTCATTTTGAGAGTGTAGAGACGCCGACACTAGTAGCATTCAATCAAGAATGGAACTCTCGGTACCTTCTCGAGCCGATGCGTGCTATGAGAAATGCGACTGAGGGTCGCGGGTATGACACGTGTTAACTATCACAGCGCAGAGATACCACCGCCAGGATCGAGCATTACTATCTCAACCAGAAACATCCTCGAGTTTTCGACTGACAATGGGGATCCTGGCTTGAATGCACGATGAATACGCGAGGTCAGCCCTACCGGGTAGCGGAGATCAAGCTTTCGCGCGACACGCTAGCAAGCTAAAGCGGTCAGGGCTCCGCAAGCTACACGTCGCGGTGCCAGAGGGTGAGGCAATCACAGAGCATACATCGCCGACATGTCCTGTGTTAGTATGCGCTCATCAGAGCCTTCGGATATGCATTCACCGCAACCACAGGCCTGCTTATGTAACAGCCACGTCCCATCCTGGTGGTGTCGTGAGGCTCCAAGCAGCTGTCAGCCCACTAATTTTGCGCAACGTCACAGCTACTCTGCCCTGCGACAGCCCCAGCACACCACCTCCAACACGCGACCCACATTAATTCAGGAACATTACTCCCATCGCAATTAGTTGCCGCTCATGTCGTACCCACCAGATACCCCGTCCTCTTCCCCGTTCCGCTCGCCCTCGTCGCAAACCTCACCGCCATCGCAGCGCTCTACACCCAACCGCTCGTCCTCATATTTCACCTATCCCGTCTCTTATGCAGTCTCGGGCATCCTGCGACGCTTGAACACGGACGCCATTCCCAAATCAGACGCGCAATCGAGATCGGAGAACAACAGCAACCGTAACAGCGCAAGCAACATACAAGCGCAGTTGCAGTCCACCGCATCTTCACTTTCACACACATTTGCGAACCTCGTCTCCTCCACCACCTCAGATATGAACTCGGTCTACCAGCCGCCACATCGGATAGCGAGCCCTTTCCAACCGCCTCCCTTGACACCGCTAAGTCTGAGAGGATGGGGAGGCAACATGCGAGAAAAGGGCAAGCTTCTGAGCACGGCGCTCGCTGAAGAGATCCGGCTCCTGCTTCCACCAAGGTTACAACTAGTGGATGAATGGAGTCTGGCATATAGTCTGGAGCAGAACGGTGTCAGCTTAGGCACACTATACAAGCAATCTGAAGACTATCTGGGCAAGAGAGGTGGCTTTGTGCTCGTGGTCAAAGACGGCAGCGGAGGTGTAAGTTTGCGAACCTCATGACGACCCCAGGACGAATGCTTACGTATCGCTATAGATCTTCGGCGCATATCTCTCCGACGCACCGCGGCCCTCCACATCATTTTACGGCAACGGCGAATGCTTTCTCTGGCGCGCGCACATACTCTCCGGGTTCTCAGACCTGCAGATGAACCTCCCACCACCCCCATCCGAGGACACGACGGACGCTGTGCGAATGACAACTATATCTTCACCGAAGAGGAAGGGCGATTCGCTAGCACCACCACAAAACGGTCGGGCCACTAAGAGTGGTGCGAGCACACCAGAGCGGATAAGGTTCAAGGCCTTTCCCTACAGCGGGGTGAATGACTACATGATCTTCTGCGAGCATAGCTACCTAAGTGTTGGCGGCGGGTAAGTAGCAACGTGTTGTTATCGTTAAGGACTCAGTGGACTGACGGTGTCGCAGTGACGGTCACTATGGCCTATGGCTAGACGACAACCTCGAAAAAGGCGTCTCCGATACGTGCCCGACGTTTGGCAACGAGCCCCTAAGTGACGATGGCAAGAAATTCGAGGTGATGGGCGTTGAGCTGTGGTACATTGGCGTATAGGAGCAGATCGTCTACGGACTTTCGCTGAGCAGAAACCTCGTAATATTTGGCACTGGCGGCATTTCGACTGCGTGGAATTTGGCTATGACAAAGCTACATAGCTCATGATGTATACCGTGTCTGAAGTCACCAGCAGGGGACGGTGATGAGCAAAATACCCATTTGAAGAGTTTGTTTTACGCTTTACATACTCTCGGTCGGCGCCATGGAGTATCGTGTCTAACACAGCAATTTCTGGTTTTGTCATCCGGTCGGGCTTTCTCGACGACATTTGGCTGATCCACACACACAAGAGATGTGTAGTTCTTCCCAGGCACGATTGTAAGGTTCGCCTCATTCGGCGAACTTATTGCCTACCTTCAAAACGACTGTTGTGCTCGCCTTGCTCAGATACTGAATCTTTTCTTGGCGGTTCTCTCACCTTGAGATACTGTCACTGCCCCATGACGAGGTGCGCACGGCCCGACTCTCACCTTCTCGTGTCTGCAGTACTTCTATCTAGGTCGTGTCTTCCGTGCCCTTCAGCTTACAACATTCTCATTCTACAAGATCACCATTTGTGCAGATGACCATCACTAAATCTCGAGGAGCGACCAAGAAGTTGGGGCCCATTATGTACGTCACTCCGTCCCTCTTATACCACATGTAACTTGCTGATATGGCGCAGTGTGGGCAACAGAATCATAAGCTTCAAGGCCCCCAATCTTGATCGCCGCTTCACTGTACATGAAGGTAACAACACATAAAGCCAATTCAGGAGTCCAACATACTAACACCATGCGTTTACCGTAGATCTCATCTGCAAGACCTCTCGATTCTTCAAAGACCGCCTCCAGAGAAACCGAAAGCCTGTCTTCAGCATTGACGAATGTTGTGTTTGCGCTGAGGCTCTCGACGCCATGATAGGAGACATCTCCTTCTGCGCCAAGTGCGGGCAAAACGTCCATGAAGTCTGCATGGAAGCCTGGAAGCGCTCATCTACTACCAGTTCTAAGAAGGAGTTGATCCCAACATGCCCGATGTGTCGTGCTAGCTGGGAGAACGAGTCACTGCTCAATCAGCTAGACATAGAGTCTGAGCTAGACGCCGAGGCTACGCAAATCTACCTGGACTGGCTGTATACCTCCACTTTACACATATCCGCAAATGTCTCTCGCGTTACCGATGCCTTCAATCTAGTCATCCTCAAACTCTGGACTGTTGCCAACGCCGTCGAAGATCCAGTGTTCAAGTCGCAAGTCATTGCCACTTACTTCGCAGAAGCTCGCGCGCGTTTCTGGAAGGAGAGCGTGAAGTGGGCTTTTGTGGATCGTAAATGCGATGAAGAAATTCGAGCTTTCGTCATCGACATATCGCTTGCCTATATCGAGCCCGGTTGGTTCAAGAGCGAGGGCAAGAACTGGCCAGAGGCCTTCGTGAGTGAGCTAGCAGATGCAGCCATGGTCCGGTGGGGAGACAGGAAAGATGGCAGAACGACAAGGAAGATGTGGATCGAGAAGCTGAGCGTAGGAGTGGATCTGACGAGCGATGACGAAGATACTGCGCCTGTAGGCGGCAGCACGAGTTTGGCGTCAGCAGCATCGCGAAGTCTGCGAGGCAGGAATCCAGCTATTGGTCTGAATAGTCCCAAAGCTGAAGCTACAGAAGTACCAGCAACCAGGAAGCGTCCATGTCAAAAGGTCGAAGTGAAGAAGCATACACATAGTGCGAAGCGTCGGCTGAAGCAAGACGTCCGCTCCATGCCTCTTTCCGATGACTCGGACGACGGCGGACTGGTTGTATACAGGTCGAAAGGGTGAGCGTTCGTGACGGCACTGGGAGTCTTCTGTCTTCTTGTTTCTCATTCTGATGACTTGCACCTGGCATTCGGGACTTACACTACCCAAACACGATATACGAGGTTTGATGCTTGTTTACGCCCAATCGAACTGCATTAGCTCGAAACGAAGACAATCGAACGACTGTGTACATCACATCTTTACCCCGACCCATCATTCGATGTTGTGCCTTACGTCGACCTTTACTAACGTGAATCACAACAGTATTCACTTCGAGAACACTGCAGGCCTCAGCTCATCAAGTTTCCGGGGCCCGAGACACTCCTACTGGTTGCGCGTTGCGCACTGGTCTGCAACTACCGAAGCAATATAGTGCAACTGAACGATAGAATATCACTCACCTGTAGGTACTGCCTAATCGGCTTGTCATCCAATGCTCATACCCCGACTAGAGAACCGCTCAAAAACGATCTTATTCAGCCACCGCGCCATTCAAGTAGCGGAAGATATCAGGACCAGGAAAGATGCCCAAGCAGGAGAAGCGCATCAGCGTTAGGAAGAAGCGAGCTATCCGGTACGTTTTCTGTGAGGATTGTAACACCAACCGCTAAACCGCTCCTAGGTTCGGCCACAAAATCGTCCGCGTCCAAGTTTCACGCGGCGAGGAGTTCACTGTCCCCGAAGACATCATATGCAGCAGATCCACATTCTTCACGAAAAAGCTACAGCCGAAGCGCAAGCCTCTCAAGAAAGACAGTGAATGCGCGATCTGTACGGAACTGCTCGAGCACGGTATACAAGAGCTTACTTACTGCGCTACTCATTGTGGTAACAACTTTCATCATAGATGCATTGAGAAGTGGAAGGCAGAGAAGCAGACAGCTCGTCAACCAGTCAACTGTCCCTTCTGTCGTCAAAGCTGGTCGAATGACACCGACGTCATCACAGTACACAAGTTCTCCGCCATCGACGCTGATGCCTTCGCAATCTTTGTTGAGTGGCTTTACTATGATCATATCGCGGTTGAAGACCGGGCGGACGAAGATGGCAAATTCTCTCTCGACACACATGAACTTGTTAAGGCATACGTTTTAGGACTCAAACTAAAGAGCAAAAAGTTCTGTCGAGACGTTATACAGGGATTGGTCGAAGTTAGTAAAGACATTGATGAATATCCGGGTCCGGACAGTATCCGCCTCGCTTACGATAAGACAGCCAAGGGATCATCACTAAGGTTGGTCTTGGTACAACTATGGGCAGACACAGCGGATGCTGCTTGGATTGAGGACGATGAGACAGACGAGTATCCCGCAGAATTCTTGAAGGATTTGACAATCGCTCTGTTGAGGAAGTATCGTGGTAAACAGAAGTGGGATCTAGAAATGATAATAAAAGGTCAAACGGTGGAGGATTCTATCTTAGTTGACGACTCAGATGAGGACAAGTCGCGTGAAGACGAGGATCAAGAAATGGAGGACGGAGAATAGGAGGATGACGAAAAGCTACATCAGTGAGTACAGGGCACTTACAGCACTTCACACTACTCGATATTTGGTGTTGTGGCTGGTAGATAATATCAGTGGAAGCAATGCACTAATAAGTACGACTTTCGACTGCTAGGTATACGACTTTCATGGTGGCTTCAGATATGGAACAACGGTGTAGTGAACCACTTCTTCTTGTCATGCAAGTCGCTGTACGCCGACTTCAAGACCCCTGAACTACTTGAGCATCCTCAGCAACCGTAGCGTGTACTCCATCAACGTTAGTCCCACTTGCAGCCACTTCCGCTTCCTCCTCTTCGCCCACTTCGACAAGAGAGTCATCCTATGTCTTCCTGTCGATATCTACCGCCTCAGTATGAGTTGGCGACTCCTCCTTAGTAAGTACACCACCATCTGTGTGCTGCATTTGACGCTCAGGATCATTTGCATGCGCATTCTCGATACCAATTTCGGCTGTGGAGAACTTGTCTGCGACATTACGGTAGGCTGGCACAAAGTTGACACAGAAAGCATAGCTCCACGCCGCAATGAAGAACGCCATCGGAACGGTCATGGCGATGGCGGTGGGCGCATATCCATCCAGAGGTCTAGCCTTCCCTAGCGTGTCACTCGCTCCAAACAGTAGTGGAGGGACGACAGCACCACCAGATACACCGGCCACGATGAAGCCCGAGCCTCTCTTTGAGTACTTACCCAGTCCGCGCATACCAAGCGCAACAATCGTCGGGAAGATAATACTCTCAAAGAAGAGTACAATGTAAAGCATGCTCATGCCGGTATTGCCTCGCTCGGTAATGGAAGGGATGACGAAGACGATACATAACGTCATGAACGCGAGGAACACCCATCGTGGTTTGACGAACTTCATGAAGGCACTGCCAATGAAGCGACCCATAGTGAAACAGCCCTGTGCACCAGCAAGGAACCGAGCTGCTGTCGAATTGTCGGTTTCGCGTCCATTTATGACCCTTGTCTCGACGACATAGTTGATGAAGGCTCCAGCTATCGCCACCTGTGCGCCAGTGTAGCAGAATTGAGCAAATGTCGCATGGAAGAGACGGTATTGTTTGCGGAAAGGCTTTACGTCGGTGCCAGCGTGAGTGCTTTCAGCCTGAAAAGCCATATCGGCATCTCGTGGATGTTAGCACCTGGTCATTTCCCATTAAGGAGCAAGCTTACCAGTGATCTCAGGTATCTCCGTGAAGTAATAAACGATCGCAAGGAGAAAAACGAAGCATGCGATACCGAGGTAAGTCCATTGCACGTTCTCAAGGGATGCTTGATCGGTGCCAACGTTGTTGAAGAAGACATATGACCCTAAAACTGGCGCTACCACAGTGCCGATGCCGTTGAAAGCCTGCGCGATGTTGATCCTGATCTCTGAATACTTGGGTGGTCCGCAAACTACTTTCGTTAGTACTGCATCCATCATTCAATCGACTCATACATACCAGCCAGGTAAGGGTTGGCTGCTGTCTCAAGCGAGCCTAGTCCATTACCGATGACGAAGATGGCTACACAAAAGCCTCCGAACGAACGATATACAAGACATGGCCAGGCAAGAAGAGAGCCCACGCCGTAAAGTGTCAGACCCCAGATGAAGGTTGCTTTGTAGCCCCAGTGGCGCAGAAGCCAGTTGGCATGACCGAGGGAAGCAAGTGGGTACGCGCCGAAGTATGCTGCCTGTAAGCCTGAAGAGCGAGCGCGCGTTATGCCAAGGACGTCTTGAAAATGCTTGTTGAGGGTATCGATAAGACCGTACGAGAATCCCTATGATCATCAGCCACATACACTGGGTTTAAGGCATCGTCGTGGCTCACCCAGAGAAAGAATAGAATGGTGACGAGGCAGAGCGGGTAGATGGACTCGCGCAGCGTCAGTTCAGCAGCACGCGTCCTCTGGTCGTCGCGACTGCGCAGTGTGGGTCTCTTAAGGAACCCCATGTTCGCTTTGTGATACGATAGAGATGCCGATTAGCGATTGGTCTGTGGATAATGCCGATCAGGTCGTGGACTGGACGAAAGGTTCGAGCATTGAGGTTGAGTTGAGTGGAGTCAACAGTAGGCAGTCGCGATGAGGTAAATCGGCAGGGTCTTCAGGCCCTCAAGTACCTGCTGTCACCCACGTGAGCTGGCGGCAGAAATGTCGGTCCATGTGCACGGCAACCAGGTTTCGCAAGAACAGACTCGATCTCAGAGGGTGATTCTACGAACCCGCCGTTGCAGCCAAGATGAGGCTTGACCTCATCAAGCAGTGGGGAGGGGAGAAGCTGGGGTAAAACCTGGGGATTTTAACGCTGAGGAGTCTAGCGTGATGTGACGTTGGGAGGATGTTCTGACAGATGATGCATCCTCGGCAGAGTTAGACCGAATGTCTGCATCGATGGTGGTTAAATCGGGTAGTGATCAGCACACGTCGCGTCATGTCTGAACCGCGTTGAAGAGCCGCGGTACATTGCGTGTGCATCGGGCTTTCTGTGGAAAGTAAGTCGAGCAGAAGTTGCGATAGCCATGCTTGTAATAACGGCAGTCGCAATTAGCGTAGTCAGTACCGCTCGGGCAAATACCACCATACACGGCGTCCAGGAGCACCCTAACATCGGACAACCACAGATTATTCCAGAACTGCAATGGAAGATTTGCCCTTCTAATCTTTGTTCTTGAAATCCAAGCCGCTCTCTTTCCTCACAACTCCGTAAACACTCGGAATATCTCCTCTGTCCCCGATTTCACTCTTCACCTTATCCAGTCTCCCTTGTGCTAAGCCTAGCATCTTCATACTTTCCTTCGCACCACTACTCTCGGCCAACGACATCGCATGTCTTGCGTCCTTTCGTGCCAAGTCGATATGGAAAAGAGGTTCCTCGCGCTGATAGTAGTCGCCGGCTAGCATGCGCTGCGAGTACGCGGTGTAGGGACCGGGAAACATGGTAGAGATGAATGTGTGGAGGTTGTCTACCCCTAGACCAGACTTTTCGGCAAGGACGTGGCCTTCAGATAGCTGCGAGACCATGTTCAAAATGAAGGTGTTGCCGATGACTTTCATGAGGGTAGCGTTTCCTGCTGGCTGGCCTGAGTAATCGATGTTCGTACGACCCATCACGCCTGTCGTATACGGGACTACCTTATCGCAGGACGCTTTTGAGCCTGCTGTCACACAAACAAGCTGGCCATTGTCCGCCATGGCTGGGGCACCGAATACTGGGATGTTGTCAGGCCCGTCCTGAGGGAGCACTTCTATCTTCACATGCGTAACTTACCTGGCATGCCCACGAACTCACCCCCCTTCTCGGTTATCTTTTTCTCCAAAGCATTCGTCGTTTCTGGGTGTACCGTGGAGCAATCTACAATAAGTTTGCCCTTGACATCTTCTTCGAGCATCTTGTCGACAGCAGCGTTCACGGCTGCATCGTCGCCCAGGCACATGAAGACAATGTCGGAAGGTTTGACAGCATCGTTGATGGTATCGACAACCTTGGTCTTGGAGCTGCCGAGTTTGGATGCGAGGTCTTCGGAGCGGGCTTTGGTGCGGTTGAACAGGATTAGGGGCTTATCGAGGTTACCCTTTTCCACCAAGTTCTGTGGAGTCAGTACGAAAATCAATTTAGAATCTTAGATGCTTCATACTTTGCACATGCCCTGTAACAGTTAGTGACATGGTCGAGCTGATGACCTCCCTTACTGACCCTGCCCATGTTGCCGAGGCCTATCCAAGCGAGTTGTGGCGCCATGATTTCTTCTGGGATCTGACTGTGTCCTTTCTCTCACAACGGAGGCAATGCCAAGTGCGACAACTTATACGGACCTCTGCTTGTACCTTGCGTACGGTTTGTCAGCGCTTCGTCATGGTGTTCATCATCGTCATCCGCCAGTAGCCCGGGGATAAGGCCACACCGGGCCGATGTCGGTTACCAGCAAATGACGTTCGCACGCCGTTATCGATGTTGAGTTCTCGAAAATGCGGATGCGGGCACGTTTCCCCACACATTTGCAGAGTCATACCTCTGCTCCGAGCTCCAGTCACACAATTTTGACCTTTTCGCATGTTCGGCAGCTGAGCGGTAGCATGAAGCATGTTCATCTGGAGCAAAGCCCCCGCGAGGGGCTTGGGGAAGGCTACGAAGAAGGTGAGCGCGACGTCTTCAGGCGTAAATGCAGCAATATTGACCCTTGACAGCTTCCCAAGCGCGATGACAGCGGTAACATCTTCACCAAGATCCAATGCGCGCCTCTCACCACGTCCGCCACCTACGTCCGAAGATCGTCGAGCTCTGCGAAAGAGCGCCAGCGCGCCGAACGTCAGCAGTTGACGCGTCTACTGAAGGAATCGCCCGGTAAACGCGACGCGCGCAACTTCCTCAAGCAGTTCGATGCGCCCAAGAAGGGCAAGGCGGCTATCGCAGCCAAAGCCAGGGAGGTGGTGAGCGAGAATATACACAATGACTCGGGTTCGCTGCGAACCGGTGTGAACCTGGGCGACCTCTACAAGCCCACCGTGTTCACCCGCGAACCGCTTCCCGAGGAGGAGTACCAGGCCGAAGAGAAGGATGAGCCGGTGCACATGGCACTTGTCAAGCTTCGGCAGCCTCAGACCCTCGACGACCGCACCTTGGGCGACATCGCATTGACTCTGAGTCAGATGGCGCAGCTGGGGCTCAGCACTGCTGTAGTGCTCGACTGCGATCACGATGCCGATGCGCACACCACAGAGTTGACATTGGAATACGGAAACATGGTCAGGGAGCAGGCATTGCGCTTGGTTGCAGCGTTGGAAGACTACAACGAGCCAGGAGCTCTGTTGGTCGAAGATGCTTTGGGCTACTCCCCACTGGCCAACGACATACCCAGTACCGTCCAGGTACGGGGAGGTGTAGAGGTACAGCACAATTACCTGCTACTTCCGCCCATCGACGACGGCGTTATTCCAGTCATAACACCCTTCGCCTACGACACAAATCTGAAGAAAGTCAGGGTCCAGGCAGACGACGTGCTTCTGGCGCTCGTTCGCGAGTTTGCCGGTCTCGCCGGCCAGACAGGCAGCAATGGCTCAGTTGGTGGCGCATTGTACAAAACAAAGGATGTCGTCGAAAGACCTATTCTGGACCGCATCATTATACTTGATCCTCTTGGTGGCATACCATCCGAGAAGCGAGCGGATGGCGCTCATGTTTTCGTCAATCTAGAAGCCGAGTACCGGGACATCAAGAAAGAGCTGCAGCAGCTGTCTTCAGCCACCCCGGATGATAAGACACAGCGTTCAACTTCACTGAGTTCTAGCAACCCGTTCTCGAAATTCGTCGAGGAAGAAATAGCATCGTTACCAGGTACACCGGCACAACAGATTGGCAACTCAGCTCCAATACGCCATCTGAAGAACCTCGAAGTGGTCGAGCGCGGCTTGAAGCTGTTACCCCCATCGTCGTCTGGCCTCGTCCTGACACCCTTGGAAGCAGCAAGGAAAGCTATACCTGACGATGCGCGGACTTCCCCTGCGAAGAATCCTCTATTGCATAACGTGTTAACAGACAAGCCGATGACATCGTCGTCGCTGCCGACAACTCCGACTTCTCGTTTCCTCGGCTCCACCGCACCCAACCCTGCTACTTTCTTCAAGAAAGGCATACCGCTCACCATGATTCCGGATCCGCGGATTCACGGACCGTGGCAGCCACCCTCTGCAACGAACCCGAGCATAGAGCTAGCAGACGACCCGCGCATCAACTTCCCAAAACTCGTCGATCTCATCGATGACTCTTTCCGACGTAAACTGCATCCTCAGAACTACCTCGACCGTATTCGTGGCCGTGTGGCCGGCATCATTATAGCGGGTGATTACGAAGGTGGCGCCATCTGCACATGGGAAACGCCCGCATCCCTCCATGGGCTCAGTCCTCCTAGCAGGCCTTCTCCAGACTCGCCATACTACATTCCTTATCTCGATAAATTCGCGGTTCTCACGTCGTCGCAAGGTTCCGGTGGCGTCTCCGACATTGTCTGGGCTGCTTTGACTCGAACATGCTTTCCAGATGGCGTAGTCTGGAGGAGTCGGACGAGCAACCCGGTCAACAAATGGTACCAAGAGAGGAGCAAGGGCATGTGGAACTTGCCTGGTGATCAATGGACCATGTTTTGGACTACGCAGGGTGTCGAGAAAAGATGGAGTGCTGAGAAGTGGGGTGGGACACAAAAGGAGAAGGATTTGAGAAGGTGGGATGCCTATGTAGATGTCTGTAGTGGCATTGAACCGAGCTGGGCAGATGGCATACAAAGAGCGGATTAGATTCAATCTAAGCAAACTACGAACTCTCAAGTCTTTCTATCAGACAGAGAAGTCATACCGTGTTGCTATTCTTTCAATCCAGAAAAACAGTCTCATGATGAGCGTGTGCCCCTATGAACCGACATGCCAGTATCTACAGCTTTCCAACTGCGACCACCCACAATTTCTATCTCGAAATGATTCTCAATGCCTACCGCATGCGACGCATCCATGAAGTTGATTCCCGATCTTGTCCAAAGTGGTAAGAGCGATCTTCCATCATGGCAACGGCAGCCCGTGGCGGACAACATCGCGAAGGCGAAAACCCCACCAGCGCAGTACCAGAACACTCACCGACTTGACGGTAGCAATGCAGAAAACACCCAAAGCACACCGACATGAAAGCTTCAAACTTTGTTAGCTTGCGCGGAGGCTTCCAGGGCTGTCGTGGTGTAATCGGGATCGCCAAACCGGCGCGCTTGGAGGGACGCGACTGCCGTGGGGAACCGAACTACGGCTGCCAGGAACACCGCTATCGCACCACAATGCAGGGCGGAGTGATCCAACACGGGATTTTGGGGTGTCGGAACGGGGGTGCATGGCTGCTAGCTTGCGAAATGTGTCTTGGTCTTTGTTGATGGAAAATGTTTATTGGAGCTGGTCGTCGCTGATGTGGACGCGTTCATTCATCACTCCTTCCATACTCCAAAGCAATTAACCTCAATTCCACACCTATACCAAAACAATCTCAAGATGTCGGACAACACTATCGTAAAGGGCGTCGCAGGAACCTGCATCACATTCTCTTTCATTCTTGCCGGTAAGACCGGACTCCCATAGTTCCCAATTTCACTTCTGACGATCCCAGGAAATGCCATCACACAGTCGTACATGACGGTGCCTGCCCTCCTCGTCAACTTCCCTCGCCCAGGCAGCCCCGACCACAAAGAGCGTGCGCAACTTCTAGGCCGCCAGTGGCCTCTGTGCTGGACAGTCGGCAACCAATTCTTCCGCCCCATTTCCACCCTTGGCTTCCTGGGTTATGCCTACGCCGGCTACTCAGTCTACCGCGAGGGCATGCTCGCTCGCAGCGACTGGAAGTTGTTTGGTGTTGCGGCCGTTATGCACTTGACGACTATCCTGCACTCGGCTCTCAACATGCAGCCGTTGAACGACAAGCTCGAGGCGTTGGCGGAGAGGAGTAACGAGAAGCAGTTGGGCGAGGCGGAGAACATTGCTATGAAGTGGGCGAGCTGGAACAGGCTGAGGTTGGTTACACCGGTTATTGCTGGTGGGCTGGCGTTGTGGAACCTGGTATCCTTGTAAAGGGTTCCATAGCCCTTGTTTTCCGTGATAGTAGTAGTCTGGCTACTGCGCAACTTACCATCTTGCCTCTCTTGGTTGGAGGCCCTTGGAGTGTAGCATTTTAGCAATGAAGCGTAAAACTAAAGACTCTCTTTAACCTCGCGATTTGTGATGTCGATGCAATCCGAACATATCAGCTAGAGATCCAACACTGCCCATGCGGTGCTGAATTGCACATCGACCTATCAGGCCATGATGACTGTGCTGGCAGCGCCATATACAAAGTCTGTGCTTAAGCCACCGCTGATATAACCAGCAAGGCTGGTAATGAAGTCAAACACTCATGCAAGCACATGCATCAACATAACAGTATAGCGACATTATAGATAATGCCAGGTGATAGGCCAAGCCACGCAGGTGAATAGCCAGTGAATAGCCAACAGCAGATATAAGTAAGCCCGCTTCTCTGTTGTAGCTGCTAAGGCTAGAGATAGAGCGTGCACAGCTAAAAAGCAGCCTCTTATACCCCCTCTAGCAGCAGCAATAGGCTATAATAAATTATAAGAGGGCTATAGCAAAGAAGTAGAGGTGCAGGCTGTCGCTTCGCGAAAATTACACCTTGTGCAGGGCCGCTGCGCGGAAAGTAGCAACTCTGTATTGTATTGTTAGATTATGTATTCGTAGAAAACTCCCCAGAATCCCTTACAGGGGTCAAAGTCCCAAAAAGTCCAAAAGTCCGACGCTAGATGCTTAACCCCGCCGGCAGATGAAAGCATCATCTATCGCTTGATGGCCTGACCTTTCCACCCACTCCTCTCCGCCAGCCAAGTCTCGAAATCGCACAGCTTGGGCTCTTCCTTCTTCAACTTGCTGATATCAGCGCCATAGCCCTCAGCTGCGAACCAACTGATCATGACGTTCACTTCCGTGACGGCCCACATAAGCGCGGAGCCAAACATACCGTAAGTTGCCGGCACCGCGCTACCGATGACACGCTCAAAGCATCCACTCATCTCGTCCATAGTGAGCTCACTACCGGCGAGACCCTCGGCGCGGCCGTTCCATTCTTCGTTGTTGACGAACGCTCGTGCGCCGAATAGACCAATATCTTCGACAGACACCCACTGAATGGACTTGCCCTGCAGTGTATCGCGGAGTGCTGCGAGGAACACCTTGGTAGGGAAGCCAGGTGCGAGGTTGTCCATGAAGGCAACCGGTCGGAGGATGGTCCAGCCCATGTTTTCACCGTTCTTGCCAGCCTTCTCGAGAAGGTGTTGTTCGATCTCATACTTGCTCTGGAAATGCGGGATGGGCGTCTTGTTCTCGAAACTGCGCTGGTTGCCGCCGCGGTCGACGCTGGAATACACAAAGTGTGTGACGCCTTCCTTGATCGACTCGTCAATCAGGGCGTTACCCTGTATGACCTCGCTCTCGTGGGTGACATTCTTGCCTAGAGAGACTTGAACAGAGTAAACACCCCAGATCTTCTCCTCTTTGCCAGCCTCTTTGAGTGTGGCCTTGGCTGATGCAAAGAGCGCCGAGGGCTCGTCCAAATTGCCTTGCACCAACTTTACGTCCGGATGACGCTCAACAATCTTCTTCGCAGAACCGGAGTTGGCATCACGGGTGACAGCCAAGAGCGTGTAATCGGCGTGCGAAGGATGCGATGCGAGTTGTTCAAGTACAGCACCGCCTTGCTTACCAGTAGCGCCGGTAACAAGAATGGCTTTTGTGGCGGCCATGGCGGGGTTGCTTGTAAGGGTCGAAGGATTGCTTGGCTTCGTAAAGACGTGGGTTACCGCAGCAGGTCAAGCTTGTTTTCAGCCTCAGATTTGAGAATAAGCAGAAAGAACGATCACTACAGAAGAGCAGAGGAAGCAGCGATGATATGCATTCACGTCGACGCGTCGCCCAAAGACTGGCACGACCGGCCCCGCAAGCATCCCAGACCCACCGTTGCTTCTTTTTAGAACGCAGTTCCACTCTTCTACGCTGATCCCAGAGAAGGGTAGCGGAGATTGTAGACCGTACAGCGAATGGCCGGCTCGTCACGATGTTCCACAGCGCTACGGGTCGGTGGAGGGCCACACCGACATTGCGGTGATTATGCAGGAGCGTCACAGAGATGGCGTTCAACACAGCTGAATGCAAGCCATGAGGGGCTCAAAGTTTGATCACCGGAGATGTAACTGGAATCCGCAATATTAGACGGATCCGTAGATCATGGTCGGATTATTTACGGCTGGACGATCGACCGGGTAGATGCTGTAGTGCGCGTCAGATCGATCTTACTCGCTACCAGAATCTAGCAGGAAACGGCATACCAACAAGACCGGCGAACGACAATTCGGAAGCTCAGCGACTGCAGATACCCTCGACACGCATATGCAATAAGCATCGCACATTCATCCTGGTATCAACACAAAATGTCAGACTTGGGCTTCACACCCGCGGAGATACGCTTTGCCACTGCAACTCTCGCAGCAATCGCTGCTCTCGCGCCCATCGCATACCTTCTCTATCCATCGCAGTCACAAGAATCAAGCGCGCACATCCAGACTTTCAACAAGTTCATAGAGAGCTACTCGACTCTTCGCCCTCAAGCCCTGACAACGTACGCCACCCGCGACTTTAGCCATACCTCCCTTCCTGCAGACCTGCACCTACCCACTCGTTCGATTCAGCCGTTCCGCGAACATGCCGAGACGGTTTTCGAGATCTTTAGCGACTTTCAGGTAGTTCCTGAAGACGATGGTCAGGGAGGCAGAGCGGTGCACTTTTCAAAAGACACAAATACGGTAGTCGCGCACTGCAAGATGGGAGGCAAGGTTAATGGTGACGGTGAATTGGGAACGCAATTGTTGGAAAGTGGGATCACAGAGTGGTGGACTGAGGGTGTCCTATTTGTGAAGTTGAGCAAGGATGGGAAGCGGGTTGAAGGTGTGAGAGAGTTTATGCATAGCAAAAAGGCGGAGGAGTTGCAGATTCGTTTGGACGGAATCTTGAGCGAGTGATACCAGTGGTCTGGGTATCTCAACTGTAGGATAGTTTTCACCAACCACACGGGATGCAAACATGCGATTTGCTATCTGAGCGATACCAGATGTTCGTTGGATGCATAGCGCGACGATCAATGGGAGCACTTAGGTCACGTGTTCGCGCGTTCATAACCTGTTGATGTCACCCGCACTCGTACACCTGAAGGTCAGCTCGATATTGGTTTCAAAATGATCCAAAGCCGAGATGACGCGAGTTGGGAACACAAAAAAGTATCCCATCCTTCTGCCAAATTTTAGACTTTGCAAAACGACAGCGCCCGGTCGCGTCCCATGTCCGACTTTCCACCCCACGACAAACCCCTCCCAAAGTTTAAGCCCCTCTGTCAATCAGATCCGCAGAGGTCTCTCGATAAGCCACCTCTACCCCTCTCATCTCCCAGTTCCGTCCGCGGTGCAACAGCGACGCTCAACAGTCCCCGCGAAATGCACTAGCGCGTCTAGGCAGCGTCATAGACTTCCCTGCGCACTCTAGACCAAATAACGAAACAACATCTGCGGATCACAACAGCCCTCGAAAGTCCGGTGGAGAGCCGTGATGATGATTACAGGAAGAAGGAATTAGACAGTCTTCGGGGGGCGTGTGGTGGGCCTGAGATAATGCATTCGCAGTCCGCGATATCGACTTGCGGCTAAGTAGTTTTGATGAATGAAACCTGGTACATGTGGCAGAAAATTATCTAGGGTGAAGTATGTCGGAGAATCGGGGTGTTGGAAACTGCGAACCAGCGGAAAGGTTCGTGGAAGTGTGAAGGGGTAATGTTTTGTTCTTGCCCTGCCTCTGTTTGATAGTCAGAATTCATCGTTCGCACCTGCAGTCTGCAGGACGACGGGCGGCAAGCGGGCGTATCCAGCGAGCTCAGTCTGGTACGAGAAGAAATCTTTGGTTCATGGGTACACGTCCCGGACTCGAATCGCTAGTTTGCACCAGGAACGGAAAGTACCAGTTTCCTTTATCGGCGCATCTCGTCTGCGAAACCCTCGCTTGTGCTGTGACCTGCACATGCTTCGTGCAACGTCGCTTACAGTGATCTTCTCTCGACGCTCAGACACAGTGGTAGCGGTTTCAATGAGAGGGGAAGCGAGTGGAATGCCACAGAGATAGCGATGAGCAACATGGAAGCGGCCGCTGTCATGGATCGCTGAGGACCAAACAGTGGCGGGCGCTCCCGCCGAAAAAACGCTTGTACCAGAGAGGCAAGGCGTGTCAAAGTGCTCAGCCTTGCCCAGCACATGTGCCCTAGAGAGACAGACGACTTCCATGTGTGTCAATCTTCAAGCATTTGGCAAAGAAATTGTCATGCTATGGTTGATAATATCGTATTTCATTCATTGTTCAGTTTTCATGACACATTTCCGAAACGCCGTGCACGCAATACAGTCTGCGGCTATGCCTTTTCATACCCGCGCCTATTCCCAGTCACCAGCTCCGAGATCAATCGGCACGCCCGCCCTCATGTCATCCATGATCTTCTCAATGCTCCAAGGCTCGTACTTGTAGCCCTTGGGGTAGTTGGGCTCAAACTTGTCTTCATCCTTCATGTCGATGCCTTGCTTCAGCGACTGCGCACTCTTCTCGTAGTTCTCGTATACGTAAGCCTCAGGGTCGTGAGACCAAACCCACTTAGGTAGTTTGGGAGCAGCGCGGCGGGGATCAAGCTTGACCTTGTCCCAGTCGGTGTCTTGGAGAAGTTCAGCGTTGGAGAAGCCGAGCTTCTGGGCACAGGAGTTGCGGATGAAGCTATCGGACTACGTTAGCATATGTGTGTAGAGAGATTGATTGGGGATAGCAACTCACCGGAAGCGGATGTGTACGCGAACGGACTGAGGAATGTTCTCCTTGCCGCCGACCTGCAAGCAGGAAGCTATCGATATGGCATCCTCAATGGCCTGGGTCGCTCCGTTGCCGGAAGCTGGTAGGTAGGAGTGTGCCGCATCACCGATCTGAATGACGCGAGCGCCGGGAGAGGTCCAGCTTGGCTGAGGGTTGCGCCAGAGGAGCTCGAAGTTGACGATCGTCTTGGGCGGGGTTGTCTCGACAAGTTGCTTGAAGATTGGGGCCCACTTGACCGTCTCCATCCCAGGCATAGTGTCCATGCCGTCCAGAACTTCTTCCTTCTCGATCGTGTTGTTCCACGACTCCTTCTCAGTACCGGTGACGTCGTGGTTCATGATCCAGACCATGACATCCTCGCGAGACAGGGTGAGCGCGTACGTGGATGGACTGTGAGGGTTAGCCGAAGTGTGATGATCTGGTTGGAAAGACTTACCCCAGCCATGTCCTCACAATTGGCTCATTGCCTGGCATCATCTTGAAGAATTCTTTCACCTCCGGATCTTTGTCGAGAGCTTCCCTGGGGAAAGCAGCACGCCACATGGCCCTTCCGGAGGGCCTCGCGCGCACTTGTCCACCGACCAACTTCTGACTCTTTGATCCAACACCATCAGCCGCAATCACTACATCCGCCTCGTAGCGCTTGCCGTCGTCGGTGGTGCAGCCACCCTTGCCAGTTTGCTCGTCCTCAAAGTAGTCCACAACCCTGCGGTTGAACTCAACGGAAACACCGAGGTTTTCTACAGCGCTAACGAACATCTTGTACACAAGCGGGCGCATCTGGAACTCGCCAGGAGGGGTATCAGGGTCCAGCCCTTGTGCACGAAGGCGATCTGCAACCTTTTTAGGTCCGATGACAACTTCGCCCGAGTGCTTGAAGGTCTCGATCCAGGCATTGTGGAGCGAAATCTTCTTGTACTCCTTGAGCAATTCAGGCCAGTGCTTCAAGAAGCGGGTTGCGCTGAGGCCCATGAAGTACATGTCACCTAGCACACGTTATGAGCTGCTCGTCAAGACCATGATTTGAGAATGCCGCTCACCAGCTGTGTTAATGTCTGCATTCCTCTCAAGCACGCGAACGTTGTGGCCCTTGCGTGTGCACTCAAGAGCAGCGACCAGACCAGCCAGACCGGTACCCACGATGAGGACATCGATGCCAGTGTTAGGGTACGACCCTATTGGCTTCGACTCCATCGTGGAGTCGCGAGAAGTAAGAGCGTGAGGCATGACTGCGGTTCAGTGTGTATGATCGTATTGAGGTGGTTGTATCGTCGAAACCGACCTTCATACAAGCCGTGCCTGCCTTTCATACATGCTGAAGGTTGCCTCCACCTGCATTCCCCGTTGGGGTACCAGTGAGGCTTGCCGAAGACCCTCGGACGTCCGGCTGGCCGGGCTGTTTCGCAGTTGTACTTTCGCGGCCATACTATGGCATGCAGGTGTTGGACAATGCAATGACCATTGCACTTGGCGGCAGATTGTCAGGAACATGGCTGCTTTGGTCGAGGACCGATCTCGATGACGATGGGCAAGCCCCCGCGCTAGCCCAAACTCCCGGCTGGCGTGCGTCCGTGCGAACGCGCTATGGTTCCCCACAAACTCCGGAGGCCAAGCACGGCCAACAGCATCCTAAGTCATCTTTGTACACGATCGAGTTCAACGTTTATGCTGGACATACACGCTGATGCCAGGTCCGCGGCGTTCCTAGCCTATCAGCTCGATCACGGCTGGGCACATGATGACTGCAGCCCTTGAGACTCGATTGATGTGTAACGTCGCTAAATATATTCCAGCACTTCTAATGACGCTTAGACTTCTTTGCTCGAGGTAGTGAAGAAGATCGCTTCTAGACTGGCTGTGTTTGACACCTTTCTTCGGGGGACTTGGCCGCCCACCAAAGGAACGCTTCCCGTGCAACGACAACTGAGGGTGCTCGGTTTCAGAAATGCAGTGTGGCGTCTGTACCCCATCACCGAAGCGTTCGACCAGTAACGTGCAGTACGAACGAGGAGCAAATGTGACACCCATACTGCCAGCGATGCATACCCATACTGCCAGCGATGCATACCCATACTGCCAGCGATGCATACCCATGCTGCAAGCTATGCAGCACAAGTTGATTAGTAGAGGGGTCTTACGGCCCGGTAATGTGCCGGCTGCCGACTTTGATCTTGCTATCTGTCGGTGATGCTTGGCCTGGTAATGTGGAAATAACAATTACTTGCCTAGAGAAAGCGGCAGACGCGGACGCAGCCACTAGGGAGTTGCTCCTTCAGCTGTGTCCAGTTCTCAAGACCAGGGAGTAAATGCTTCGATACGCCCGAGTTCATGCAAGTGAACTTGGTTCATGTCGATCTCTGTGCTCTCCCGGCGCACCGATACATGTTAGTCCAGCCCCAAGCTCTTCAATATGTCGTAAGTCGGCGCCCGCTAGCACCGACTTCTGTTCTTCCGCCGTGGCGGATACAGATACTGAGATCAACAAGGGTGTTAGTGAGATCGCCATCCTGGCACACTATGGAAATCGGTAGTTTCCAACCTTGGCCATTGGATGAATCTGCCGTCTGTCACCCAAGCGATGTTTAGTTCCATGTCGGCTATGCTCACCTAGACGCCGATGAATCTGGTGCCCTAAACGGTCCCGTCTCGCCAGTGGGCCCTGTATGGCTGTACATAAGTCAAGCTCTGGGGAGCCGGACGAGTGGTAGTGCAACGAAAACCTGTGGTGTGATATTTACCAGGCTTCCCACGCTGTGGTCTTGTGATTGTTACCGTTCCCTCCGACAACATCCCCGTCAAGACCCTTGGCAAGTCAGTTGACAGTCAACCCCTCCGGTCCCGACTTTTCTACAGACGCCTTCGACCGTCACCTGCGTACTCGAAATGCATCCCTTCACAGCCTACGCCCTAGGCGTCGCAGTCGTCGGCCTTGTTGTATACGCAGTCGTCGACGCCGTCACCAAGTACGACAAGCGATACAATGTCCAGAACATGCCTGGCCCCTGGCAGGTACCGTGGGTTGGACGCATTCACGACCTACCCATTGAGTTCATGTGGCTGAAGTTCAAGGAGTGGGCCGACATTTACGGTCCCATATACCGCACCAAGATGTTGGGCGCGAACTTCATCATCATCACTGATGAGAAGATTGCCGAGGATATGCTTGTGAAGAAGGCGAAGTTGTATTCCGATCGACCCGAGATCAAGTCGCTGTTCGATGCGAAGAGCACATACGGCTCGATGGAGTACCTGCCTCTCATGGGAAAGAACCGTAAGTCTCGCAGTGATGGGGGCGGCGAATTCTGCTAATCAAAACAGAATACTGGGCTCGTCAGCGAAAGTTCACTCATTCTTACCTCACTGGAGCTACCAACGTCCGCTATAATGGTATCATGGAATTCGAGGCCAAGCGATGGATGGCCAGGCTCGTGGAAAACCCCGACGACTTCAGCTTTTCCCTCGAAGACATGTGCTCTAAGGTCATGTGCCAATTGACATGGGACGATCCTTCGCTCAGTGTTCCTCTTACTCCCAGCGCATGGGGTCTGCTCACCCAGATGTCACCCGCCGGGCCAATCACAAACGTCTTGACTCCTCTCTGGGACTGGGTGCCCGAGCCGATCAACCCCTGGAAGCTCCGGGAGCGCAAGCGCCACGACGACCAACAAGCTTTCTTCATGGAGTGCCTTCAAAAAACCAAGAAGAGTATGGAAGTCGGTCAGCAAAGGTCTTGCTTCACCAAGAACTATCTTGAGACCGCGGAAAAGTCAAACATCTCGGGCGAATACGAAGCTTCTTGCGTGATCGGTATGATGGCGCTTGTCGGTATCTTCACAGTCACTGGACCGATTTACTACTTCCTCATCAGCATGCTACACCACCCCGAGTGGCAGGTCAAGTGCCAAGAGGAGATTGACCGCGTCTGCGGTAACCAGCCTCCTGCCGTCGCCGACTTGCCCAATTTGCCAGTTCTTCGTGCGTGTATCAAGGAGACAATGCGCTGGAAACCTACCGTACCTACTGGTAAGCACACAAGGAGCCATCTTCCGTATTGATTCTAACTTTTTCCCAGGTGTTGCTCATGAAGCTGAGGCCGACGACTGGTTCCAGGGATACTTCATTCCCAAGGGCACGCGCATTCTTCCTCTCGACTGGGCCTTCCTCCGAAACCCCGCCAAGTACCCCGAGCCTGAGGAGTTCCGCCCTGAGCGATGGTTGGAGGCTGGATGGCCGACATTCCAGGAGCCCTTGACCAAGTACCCTGACATCGTTGGCATGACCTCGTTCGGTTGGGGCCAACGCCAATGTCTCGGCATGTCCATCACCCGCGATGAGACCGTGACAGGCTGTGGAGCTCTGATGTGGGCCTTCAACCTCAGGGCAAAGGTCGACCCCGTTACCGGCAAGGACATCGAAGTGCCAGTCAACAAGTCCAACTCTTTACTCATCATCAAGCCAGATCCATGGGAGATGGCGTTCCACCCCAGGAGTGAAACGCGCAAGCAGGAAGTCATTCAGCTGTGGAAGGAGGCTGAGGCGAAGGATATCCAGGAGCGTGCCGAGTTTGCGAAGTCGGCTGAGATGAACGTGTTGGTGCAGCCATAGGCGGCGATACGAGAAGCTTTTTCTTTGTTGGGTATATCCGAGAGCATAGCCGGGAGGCACGGCGTTCGTGAGCGCTGTCTGTTCTTCACCTTCTCTATCTTCTCTTCAGTAGTTACAAGGCCGTCGCCACACCGGCCAGCCATAATTTGATTCCATTTGTCACATTTGTGTTTCGCTTGATACGGGTTCGTGCGCCTCGATGGCTCTAGGAAGTGACGTTGGGAAAGAAACCCTAGGAAAGTCACAATCACGGGTGAGGGCAGCCAGTGACTCTTATGCTGACCGTATCAGAGGTTACACAGGATACTTTAGGGTCGTATTCGCTATGAGGAGCCGGTCGAATGGCGCTACGGTGGTCCGTCCAGCAGCAATGTGCTGCGATGCCTTGTCAGAGCGACGCCACGGAATCCCGTGGCTGAAGCCATCCGGCTCAAGGACCAAGGCAATCTTTGATGCAATCGCGATGCCAGAAATCTCGGGCGATGGTACTCGGGCGATGGTACTCGGGCGACGATCCCTTACGTCTGCCCTGAGTGACATGCGGGGAGGGCATGGCGCAATTACCCCTCCAAGCCTGGCCCGAGCGGCCCTTGCACGTCCAGCCTCGACGGTGAGAGGCCCAATCACGCCTCGGGCCCCACCCTTGTGCTGTGCTCTACGGAAAGAGCTATGCCCCTCCATGGCCTCTCTCATCTTTTAAAGCTGCCCCTCATCCTTCCCATCGACAACACTCCACCACCACACCCTCTTCACAACACACTCAAACCAAATCCATCACCATGTCCAACCCCAAGGTTTTCTTCGACACCACCATTGGCGGCCAGCCCGCTGGCAGGATCGTCATGGAGCTCTTCGCCGACCAGGTCCCCAAGGTGAGTACCCCGCTAGCAGAGTCTTCGTCAGGCCTCTTTCCCCGCGAGGCACCGATAAGATGAGGCAGTCGCTGACTATAACCAACAGACAGCTGAGAACTTCCGCGCTCTCTGCACCGGCGAGAAGGGCACTGGAAAGAGCGGCAAGCCCCTCCACTACAAGGGCTCCAGCTTCCACCGCGTCATCCCCCAGTTCATGCTCCAGGGTGGTGACTTCACCCGCGGCAACGTACGTCATACCCACGACCTTTCTTCTGGCGAGCACACATGGCTGACATAACACAGGGCACCGGAGGTGAGAGGTAAGCTTTGGCCGTACAAAATGCATGCGAGACATACACTGACTTCGTATCTTCACTGTAGCATCTACGGCGAGAAGTTCGAGGACGAGAACTTCAACCTGAGGCACACTGGCCCCGGTATCCTCTCCATGGCTAACGCCGGACCTGGTACGCTCAGAACACTGCCCCGTGTCTTGAGGTTCGAGAACTGATCAAGCGCGCAGGAACCAACGGCTCCCAGTTCTTCATCTGCACCGTCAAGACCTCCTGGTTGGACGGCAAGCACGTCGTCTTCGGCCAGGTTGTTGAGGGTCTTGAGGTCGTCCAGGCCATCGAGAAGGTCGGCTCCCAAAACGGCTCCACTAAGCAGACCGTCACCATTGCGGACTGCGGCCAGTTGTAGATCGACTGGAGGCGGAGAGAAAATTAGAGACGCGCAAACGGGCGTGGGCAGAGGCAGCAGGAGACTGGCCACCGTTCAAGCCCACCATGCATTGATGGGCTCACGACGCCATGATTCACGACCCACAGCAAAGCTTGATAGAGGGAGCGCAGTGAGCATCTTTGGTCTGTCGTAGTGCTATCTACCACTATGAAATGACAATGATCAATGTGCACTTTCCAACAGTTTTGATTTGCCATGTGATCCTTTGCCGTAGTACTTTCAGATATACTCGCGCTTGTTGATCGCCAAGTTCTAACTCAATACCGAATACATTGCACTGCAACTAGTATCAAAGTCACGATGTGTGAATCATAGATCACGACATTGCACCCGTGGTTCATAACTAATCTAGACGCAGTGATGGCGGTAGATGCTCGAACTGAGGAAAAGTGATTGGAGTGATACCTGGGAATTGTTGATTGGAGCAATATTGTAACGGCAGCATTGTTTAGAATTGCTGCGACAGGATACAAGATGAGCTTGCTCTCGAGGTCCGAGACGCCTGTCAGCGTTAGTTAGGGGTGCATACATGGAGTACATGTGTCATGCCATGCTATCTTTAGCATCAATTAGTAGTATTGCTGATTCATTTACCACGCGAGAGATTACGAGCTCGTCTTCTACGTGTAGAGTCGGGTAGACGAAACATGTGTGAGATTGACGAAACATGTGTATGAAAGGAAGGAAGCTGGAGATTGCGACTCGCGTTTGTTGAGCGCCCGTTCATGCTGTCGAGTTCTTCAACATCATCAGGCATGTTCATCATGAAGGTCAACCAGGAGTAACTTCTCGGCGTGATAGTAAGGCTAGCCCCATGGATGCAGCATGGTGGTTCGGCTGATCAGTGCATGTCGTTCAAAGCCTTAGCGGGGCATAGAGTCACGACGCACTGAACGCTCGCGCATATAGGCAAACTTGAGGGGCAGCCTTTGACTCAAGTAAGGCTGCTTTTGATAGCTGTAGTTTGCCGCCTCATCTACAGACGCCCAGTAGATGCGTGACGAACCTGGGGGTGTTGAGGCTTAGCTGAAGCTGCGCTTTCCCAGCTGAACGCCTCGCTCAGAGTCCTCCGAGTTGCTCATAGAAATCGTGGGTACCTAGAGCATTCGCCTGGCAGGCCTCCAAAAGAGCTCGGTTCAACAGGCCATGGAAGTGGTGAGGGCATCGCCTCACTGACGTACAAATGCCCTGTGAGGCAAAGTGTGGGGAAGGCTATGAGTCCATCGTATCGAGTAACAAGGACACCTGCTTAGTGGTCGAGCCAAAGGGTATGTGCGGGCTAATCGTCGCCAACTGTTTGGTCAGTATGCAGCAATCACTGCCCTCCTTGATGGCACCATCGGACGGATCCTCGGTCAGCATCTGCATAGAGTGGACCTGACGACGTCTAGAAGCCTTGGATGCAACTGATAGACAGCCGTAGCCGACTTCCCAGCGAAAATGGAGACATGAGTGGATGGACGAAGTGGGGAAAGAATATGCAGAACCATTGGCGTGGAAGGAACGCATGGGAAAACAGCACTGGCTTTTCGATGGGCTCAGCTCTTTCATCTCAACTACTATCGGATGACGGGTTTTCAGATTGATCGGTTGTGACGATTGAAAGGCTCTGCGCTGTTGTTGTCGTGGCTGGTGTGCGAGCTCAACACGTAGCCCGTTCTGATTGGCTGCACAATATCCGCAGTGAAGCATTTCTTTTCTCCAGGAGCAGGAGATGTAGCATGACGCAAGAAAGCCTTCCTTCGTTACTACGTCGAGGGCAAACATACTTATCGGTAGGCAGCAATAGATGCAGCGATGACACGTTGCGGTGGTATTGCCCAGGTTGAGGAGCTTAGCGTGCAGGACTATTAGCTCCTTCCTCTTTGCTTCTGTCACAACCAACAACCGTCTTTCGCGCAGGGTGATCTTTTCGGTGATCGTGCTCATCAGCCGTGGGCATTCTGGTCCCTGGGAAAACGGTGGAGAGGGCTAGCTCCCGGGCTGCGTAGAGGCTGGTCCTTGCCAGCGCAGCCTTGTAGTAAGCCCGCAACGGAGGGGTGAATCAGCCATTGCAGCACAGGACCCGACGATACATGGGCATCTGTCGCATGCGCATGGACGTGCAGTTCCGATGCGCAGCGTGCGACCTAGGTACTAGCTGGCGCACATGACGTCGCCGGGGTCGGGTAGGCAGCAAAATCTTCCCACTATCATCTGACGAAGACCGGGAGAGCCCGTCGAGGAGGCCGTCTAGAAGTCCGTCGGCCTCGCGATACACGTGGGATGATCACCAGGGAGGGAGCAGGGAGCGTCCCGTAGGCGCCCGGTGCCGACGAGGAACCAAAGGTCAGCATCGGGTGAGCCTGTCCAACATGGGATGCCTGGCAGGTCGGCCGATCAAGCGGTGTCGAGCGAGGCTAAATTTGCGTCCTCTCCGCGCGCGCGCTGAGTGAGCACTGGATTACTACGCTGCATGGCACAGAGTGCAGCAGGTGGAAGGCTCTGTTTGGTGACGCCGTAGAGGCTGCCGTGAGCGTTTGGCGAGGCAACGGTGTGTGCTGGGGGAGGGTCAGCAGCTGGCAGTGATTCGCCCAGCCCTGTCTGCATCGCTCGATGCGGGCAAGTCAGGTGGCCAGCGGTGCCGGCGATTTGCTGGATGAAGCCAAGGGCGTTTTGTGGGTTGCAGCCATGTCCGTGGGCCGTGATCGAGGACTCTGCGCGGGATCAACCAGCGTCGAGAACCCCGCGAGACAACTGCAGCGTCCAGGCAGCCTATTTCGTCTCTCCCACGCCATGCGCTGCGCCTCGATTCGCGCTGCACCGCTGCTCCAAATCCGCTGCGTGTATTAATCCCCGTCGGTCCTTGTCTCCGCCCTGCGCCGGGTCACCCTTTAGTGAGCTGTCTCAGATCGCTGCGCCGCCTGCTTCACTCGTGCGCTTGACCCTCACGCTCTACTTATACGCTTGTTTGCTTTGCATGGCATTGTCGTGCCATCCCCACCCACATCTCGGCTTCTGCATGTTCAGCCAATACCCCATCCATCCCATATCATTAATACCCCATTGTCCATCACTGCAAGACATCACGTTACATCATGGCGCCCAACCCACACTGGCGGCAGCACCAGTCGAGTAACAGCACCGCGTCTGGCCGCAGCGACAACAGCACCGTGTCGGCTCGCAGCGACGCCAGCGACCGTTCGTACGACACCGCGCCGACAGAGTACAGCGACCGCAGACCGTCGCTCATGCACAGCGAGACCAGCCACGCCCGCCTCCAGGGACGCGCCCGGGAACGAGACTACTTTGTGCCTCAACACAAGGTCGACCGCTATCCACAGCTGCCGCCCCGCTCCTCCGTCGACACATATGCCTCGACATCAGAAGAAGACCTCGCCGATGAGCTCGATGATGACATGCCCGACTACGATGTGCCCACATACCGACACGAGCCACTAGCCTGCGATGCCATCCCTACCACACCCCGCGACTTTGGGGAGCTCTTCCCTACGTCCAAGCGCCTATCCATACGCCACGACGACTCGACCATAGACGGCAACATGAACCTGAGAGTGGACACACAGGTCGAGGAACGAGGACACCGGAAACAAAGCTACACCCTCTTCCATCTCCGCATGCAGGACCTTCGCACACGCCAGTTCTCGCTGCGCCGGTACTGCAGAGAGTCTGGCCGTGAGGTCTGCCACTCGACGCGCAAGTACCAGAAGCCAGCCACAGAGATGCGGCCAGTCCTGCAACGCGCAAGCACAGCCCTCGCTAGTCTGGTCAAGTCCGACTCTCGCCCCTCAACATCAGCAGGTCTGAAGCGGGCCGACTCCGGCTATGACTCCGTGCAGGGCAGTCTTCATGACGACGACGACGATATTACACGCTCGGAGTCACGTCCCAAGGCGGTGGGATACTCCAAGGGCCGCGCCTTAATACCAACCAATACCATCAAGCTCGAGTTCTCGAATTACGCACACCTCGACGTCAAGCGCCGCGGTGCCAAGTCATACAAGAAGTACGCCTTTGAATACTGGGGCCACGACTACTCCTGGAAACGCATCGTCAAGAAGGAAGGACGGGACCAGCAGGAATCTGTCTCCTACTACCTCGTCCGCGATGACAACGACAAGGAGCCGCTTGCGCATATCTGTCCTGTACGCTTGACGCACGAAGAGGCGCATGAGGAGGCTGCCCGTGGTGGCTGGATACCACCTTGTTATATGCGTGTCACTGACGACAAGATCCTACGCTCAGACTCAGACATTTCCGAGTAAGTCCATTCGATGGCGCAAGCCGTGCAAAGTAACAGTCAGTTAACCCAACGAACAGTGTTGTTATGGCGACGGGTCTCATGGCTCTTGTGGACGACTGCATCAAGCGACGCTTCCACTCCAAACAGAGCACGCAGATGCACATCCCGCTTCTCAGAAATCCGTCATTCAAAATGGCCAACTTGGAATACATTGGCCCCAAACGCCTCATCGATGAGATGTTCAGCCGAAAACACCAGGATGGCAACATACCCAAGAAACATTCTTCAGCGGCACGTCGGTTGCCGACGTCCGTTTAGTGTCTGCTTTATTTAGCTCAAGTTTGCGTTAGTACACGTTCAATCAGTATCGGGAAGCTGCAGCCTGTTCTCGCATCTTGTATCACCAACCTGTCAGAAACATTCTGTTGGGATGGCTACCTGCAGGCAGGCGCAGTCTTAGCATTGCTGGTGGTCATGTTCTCTTTTTACACCTTGGTGTTTGGCATCTGCGCCGTCTTTTGGTCTGCAGCATGCAAAGCGTTGTTTGTTTGCTGCATTTGTTGAGCCTTTTCTCATTGCACAGGATACCAGCCGGCATGGATGTTCAGCACATGCACATAGTACCGCCCGTTTTGGTTTACGAATCGCCACGTTATCATTCTTGGATCGATACATACTGGGATCGAAGTTACGATACCACATTTTGGAACGAATAATGACCTGAGCTAATTTTGCTCTATACAATTGGTTCGCAATCTGCCATACGTGAGAGTAACATATTTCCATCAACGACGTGGGTACGACACGGCACGCTTCGGTATTCAAATTAAGCCGTGCAAGTCTTGTGCCCGCACAGCGCTCATTGGACTGCATGTTTCGTTTGAGAGAGGTGTTTGCTTACGTGTTAGGATAATCTAGAAGACCAGTTCGTTCTTGAGGCGTACAATCCCGACAGCTTAGGATTGACAGCTGACAGGTGATACGACGTCGAGCACACGCGTGGCACATGGCTAAGCTCGTCTTGCGTCGACTGCTGGGAGCACATCGCCACATCGCACTCTCCATGACGCTGAACCTCAAACCCGCATCTCTCTGCTGCATTCAAGCATGTTCGATCACGGCATCAGCCCAACGCTCTCCGTACGACCCTCCGCCTCGGCCCCATGAAGTCTCAAGAGAGAATGCGGTGATTTTTTACTACGCAGCTGATACGTAATCGCGGCGAGCGAAGTGTATCAAGGATATTCTTATCGTTGAAGCTACTGTATCGTAGCAAGAACATTGTCACGGCACTCGACGATGATTACTCGAACTAACCAATCAGGACATCTTTTCCATCAAAACTGTCGCAATCACATATTCCCAGCCATGCATTTGCGTCAACGGAATTGCATGGGTTGACTTTCGCTTCACGACAGTCGGTCTGCTCATCAATCTCGGGCTGCGGCTTCATATCCCATGAGGAAGGTCAAACAATAAGCAGGAACCCGATGCCTCATCATTTGGTGTCCTGATTCTTTCGCTGCTTTGTGGTACCTTGGGTCAAGTGTGGGTGTACAAGCTCAACGACCATCCGCTCTTGCCGTCAACAGCGCTGCTAAAATGCATCATCCGCCTCATAATTGACGGACATTGTTTAATATCGTTTGATGTATTCGAAGCATTCTTTACCGAACCGCAACGACCGCCTCTCTCGGTATGATATCATTGCCGCCACAGCGAAAATTAGGCAGGGTCCTGTTGAGCACTACTGCAGAGTGTCTGCATAATGACCTGGCACTCCACACTAGCCTCATGTTTTGCAGCCATGTGGGTACGCGAACGTGCTCTTGGGCTGAAGTTGTAAAGCACCCTCACGCTGCAGCCTCAGGTTCCAATTGCATATTGTTCATGCAGCTTTCCCAGTGCGGGTGTTGACAAGCATCTCATCCGTACCGCCTCCCAGCAGCTGCCGACAGACTGTCCCCAACTCTCCGCAGATAATAGTAGGCTGCGCATGGCCTAGACCATGCTTGGGATTCTCGCATGCCCCATCGGCCCGCTCTGGAGCGCGTTCGTCCAGCCCAATGGCTCGGGTGTGGGAAACTCGTTATTGGCCACATAAACTGAGTGCTCCGACGGCTTCTAACAGCATATGCGCATGTCACTTGCAAGAAGAGCATGACCGACGAGACGGATGCTTGCATACCCTCGTCACTCACTACCATATCTGTCTGCTTCTTCCGTCTATAATGAGGCTCTGTGTCGCTCTTATATGTTATAAGTAGCTGCGCCCTTAGAATCGCTGCTAGGCTTGTCGTATCGAGCCAGTCCCAACCCTTTCTTAGCCATCTACCTCTATCCCTTGCAACTTATTCCTTGTCTGCTACCCTCACTCGTTCTGCGTCTATCCAAAATATTCTTATCATGGCCAATCGAGATCCGTGGACGCAGCGCCTTCGAGGTATGCCTATTCGTTTCAGTCCTTGATTTAACGCACACTGATGCGCTTTCCAGATCATTGCCTGGCAAGAGGGCTACAGGAACCAACATACACAGATCTTTCTGATCGCCGTGGTGAGTCAAATCTAGCATATTGCTTCGTCAATACAAATTCGCATATCACTAGCTAATATACATGCTAGGCGGCCGAACGGCCTGGTCAACCATGGTCACTATCCACGGTTCCAACTTCCAGGCGAGATACTGGTACGATGTAAATTATCTTCCCAATGCAAAAGAAGACGCTGCCGAGATCGCGCTGCGCACTCTGACTGGGACTACGAACCAAAGTCAGTCACCGCCGCCGGCAAGCCACTATCGAACCATTGGAAGTCGACAGGACTCAGCTGTGAATGCTGGGTAGCTAGCATCGCCGTTTCTGCTATTGAGTAGCCTTCGCTGCATACTCGATCTCTCTTCGTGGACCTGTCAAGTCTCAAACACTCTTTTAATCACGGTGGAAAGCGGTCAGAAAGGAGCGTTGTGGCATGAATATGGAAGAAACTTGGAGGGCGGCGGCTTTTTTGTTTACATCATATCTGTTGCTAATTATAAAAATCTTTACATATTATTGAAACATGCACACATGAAGTTGTACAGTCGTCGCTTCCGCCACTGCTCGTTGGTGGTACACTAAACCCTAGCGCGCTTGTTGAACGGACGTCGCTTCATCGTGAAGCTTCCTAGACAGTACGAGTTTTTTTGCGTTGTCCTTTCCCCATCGACCCATGCACTCAAGACATACCGATGGCATTGACGGCAAGCGGGGTGGTGTCGGCTGAAACTTCTGGATCTCGTCTTGCCAACCCTTACCAAGGTAGTGGAGAGTCACGTCTCCACTGCTACACCGCGAACACCTGACCGCAGATCAGATAAGGTAGGGAATGCAATTGATCAGTACTACCCAAGACGATGTGTAGGCGCCCGGCACCTGCTCCCCGCAGGCGAGTTCGTTCATCCCGACTAGCTGCCAGTGCAGCCCCACCCCTCTCGACTCGAATGCACGCATCAGAACGTAAGTGCATTTGACAGCCTAATGCCCAGGCTACTTAGATTCCGGCGAGCGGCAGAGATGCTGTGCAGATACGATCTAAGACTATCCGATGCATTATACGTGGCCGCATCTTCGTGGTATGGCCTGGGAAGCGGCCCAAGAGAGAAGGTCTGCCAGCGTTGTAGCCTCATTAGCAACCCAAAACCCATGAGGCCATAACAGCGTGAACACGTGCGGCCCAACGCTCCATGTTCAGGTCTCGATCCGATGCATGATGCCCGCCGAACCTGCGGGCCACGCCTGACGCTTGCATCCAGAGGATTCCGCAGCTGAAGGATCAGTTCATCCAACAAGCCACGTCGCATATGCATCTCATATACGCGCGATACTTGTGACACCTTAGATGTGGGTTCACAGGAGCCAGGGATCGGGGACATCGCCACGCTTCTGAATCACATTCGCCGAGTTTCGCTACGAGGAGGGACTGACATGCGCCTAAACATTGAAAACTTCAGCAGCGCATGGTGAAGGCGTTCCATACGGTGTAGGAATTCTTCCTGTAGTGGAAACAGTCCGCGAGCACGGCCAGGGCAGGTGCGTAGAGTGTAGATCTCTTGGCTACACTCGAGGCAGGAAGTGTGTGGTTAGGGGACATGCGCCAGTCGCCTCTCACAGTGTTTTATCGCCAGGGTGTGCAAGGCCTCCGCGGACCGTGGCGAAGAGAACGCCAGTTGGTGCTGATGTTTGAACAGGCTGGTCAGCATATTGACAAATCGTTGGCTATGCACCGTTTTGATGGAAGCGCCAAACTTCTCACTTGCGGACCCCACGCCAACTTGTAGGAGAGCAAGAAAGCCGCACTCATTCTTTGATGTCTAAGATTACGTGGTGAGTCGGAAGCCGCCTGGGTCTTTCGCCCATGATATACATGCTATTAAGATAGAGGCTGATACTGCAACGGTACAGGTTTAGGGACTCTTCCAGCATCCTCTGGTTCGGGAGGTTCGCCGGTCCGCGTTTGTGTGTAGTATTACCGCAGAACTCATGCTAATAGATAGTGAGACATTTTTCCATGTTTCCATCATCAGCGATATTGCGAGCAGCGTGAGATGCTGCTTCCGGAGTCATCAGCTAAAGGTTTAAGTATTTGAAGTGCTGCAGTAGGTGATGGTTGCAACGAGTGACCTGCCAAATACGTTCACTCCCTGCGAGAGCAGTGGTGCAGATCCCGGAAGTGCCGTGTTCCGCCGATGCAACAATCTGCCGGAAGGCCACTGGATCTCGTCTTCATCAGTCTCATTGAATTGCATCGAACAATGACACCAACTGGCTGAGCTATTTGTTGTATACTCTTCAAATGACAATTCTTTTACAACGTCTTCTCGAGTCTTCGATGCTTCTCAGACAGCCGGCATAACTCCTCGAACACAACACATAGCTCGTCTTCGCCCACTCCTTAAGGATCGGACTGCTGCATACACGCTTTCCCAACGCATCGTGTGATGACGCATATCCCACCCCCTTCCCGCCTTCGAACCCTTCCTTCACACCGTTGCAGACGCGCGAAGCCTGTACGTACAAACTCCGCTGCGGCGGCCACAACCAAGCAACACATTGGCGCAAAGGAACTAACATGACGCGGAGACTTGTCTTAAGACAAGACTTAGGTCTTTACCCAGTGTTCTCACGCCTCTACGATCGAATCGAGTTTCCTACTGACGACGGACACCCCGATTAGGCGGATACCCCCCTCGACGACTTCGATTGCGGCACGAAACTCCCCTTGGTTTAACGCCCCGCACGAGAGAAGGCATTTTGTGTATCGAACCGCCTCTCAAACAGC